TATTATCAACTGAAGCTTCAGTGGGACTCTGGGATCTGAGAGATGTTATTTAGATAGAAACTGACACCCTGCCCTACACACTCAGTGATTGGAGAGTCAGCCCATGCACCAAGGGGTCTCTGGTCAAGGGCCCATACCTAGGTTGCAGGTTCAATTTCCAGCCCCGGTAATGGCCCATGTGAGAAGCAAGCAATCAATATGTCTCTCTCACATTGATGTTTCTCTCTTTCTCTCCCCTAACCCCGCTCTTCCACTCTCTCTAAAAATCAATGGAAAAAGTATCCTCAGGTAAGGATTTAAGAAAAAAGAAACTGCCCACTGGCTGAGATAGAGTTTCAAGAAGTCCTCCCCCTCTACTTTAATCCTGAAGGCTGCACTCTAATGCTTGCCAAGGACACATGTAAGAAAGATGACTAACCTGCAGGGAGTAGAGGCAGGTCTAGTTGCAGACCAATACTTAGTATGCATCCACCGTACAGAGAGCCTGAGGAGCTGACCATTTCTAAACGGGGATCAACAGCATTTTCATTTCTAAGAGAGTCGAAAAAAAGATCTGCTTATTTGTGAATGAGACTCTCTGAGTCACCTTTGGGTTCAAAGCTAATAAATTTAGCTTTATATTTCTGTAAAAAGCTTGCTGGAGAAAAGAACTAAAATTCAAGAGTAGCAGGGAAATCTTCGCCATGTTAGCAAACTCACTATTGGGCCATGATTTAGAGCAGGATGCTAGATCATAGCCTGGGGTCTGGACCCAATAGGGCCATATTATCAACCTTGTGGCCTTGGGCACATCACTTGACCTCTCAATGTCACCATCTTCCACATGGATGTCATACTGTCAGGCACTTGGTCTATACACATTATCACTTCAGAATGGAGCAAAGCTGGTTTGTCACATCTCTCTGTGCAACTTGAAAAAGTTCAAAAGAGAGTCACAAAGATGAGTTAAGATTTCTAAACTACCCCTTCAGAAAGGTTCAGGGATGTGATTGATTCAGCCCAAAGAAGAGAGACTTAATAAGAGCCTTCAAATAGATAAAGGGTTTTTACCCAGGGCCAGTGAGAATATGGAGACCACATGTTCTCAGTCTACACTGAGCTGAGGAGAAGTTTCTGACAGTAAGGGCCAAAGGACACAAATAAACTAGAGAATGTACTTCTGGGAAATACTTCATTGGGGGAAGGATGGGAAAGAAAGAGAGGGAGGGAAGGAGAGAGGGAAAGTGAGAGGGAGAGAAAGAGAATGGGGCAATATTATAGCAAGTTCTGAACACTAGAGAAAGCAACCTTATAGCTCTTGCCCGATATATTAGTCTATAAATTACCTCTTTGGCCTTATCTGGTTTGCCTCACCGGATACAAATTATTTTGTATCTTCTTCGTTTTATTGGTGAAGAAGTTTGGTGATCCAAACATACCAGTAAGCCCTACTTCTTGTTCTTTCTAGTGTTGGCTCAGACACCGAAGAACTCTCCCAGGTGAGCACTACACCTGGATGGAAGGCAGGGCAAGAAGAGCCTAGAAAGCCCTGGGTCACACAGATTGCCCCTCCTCTGGGAGCCTGCAAATCAGGGTGCATTGTCCTATTATTATAAAGAATGGAAATAATGTACAAATTATGTCACAACAAAGGAAGAAATTCTAACTATAGTGCACAGCAGGAAGCAATAGTTTGCTCATTTGAGAATTACATGGCTGTTTATGCTTCTGGCACCTGGGCTAATTATGCTCTGATTTAAGCCTCTGGTGAGCCTGTAGTGCCATGATTACCAAGAAGCCACATGGTTATTAGTGGTGATAAAAGCAAAATACTAAGAGGCACCTGAGACAGGAGGATCACACACACAAGCATTCCAAAAAGGTTTGCTACTTGGGATGGTGTGTAGAGAAAGTGCCTCACACAGCACGTGTCAGAAGAGTCCCTTTCTTTCAACCCCTTCTACCTGCTACAGATTTTAGCCAATCTTTAGCCCTGAGCTCTGAGCGATGCCTATTCAAATTATACCAAAGGACCAAATCACATGACCAAGGATAACCTTAACTGTCATCCAGCCTGACCTCTTACCTCTGGGGTTAGGTTGCCTGATTTAGACAAAGCACACACTGATCAAATCCCATTATGGTGAGCTGCACAGGACATGCCAGCAGAGCAATTTTATTAGACAGTTAGAAATCACATTAGTCCAACCCTAGCAGACGTCAACATCCAGGCTTTCTGTAGTGTGTTAGCAAGAGAAAGAGCCCTTTGGCACATCCTTAAAGAAGAGGTATATTCACATCATCTCACCCCCATGCCTTTCTCTGAGCCCTTCAGTATTTGCACGAGTTGTAAAGTTTATTGCAAATTCTACAAATATATATATTTTTTTCTATTGATGGGACTGGAGCATTTGAAGGGATGCTTGATGGCAGAATAATAGAGTGATGAAAACATCAGCTGGGCTTCATTTCAACTCTTTCCTTCCTTTTGTAGAATTCAGAGTTATGTATTTTCACAAAAGAAAGGGCCTTAGACACGAACCTATGAATGTCCACAGACTAGCTGTGACAACCATTTTCCCACCAGGCCCTTCTCGTGCAGTCTGGTAACAAATGTGTTGTCCACTCATCCTTCACTCCTCTCCTGGTCCTCCCAACTCTTCCAAAAACAGAACCACCTCTGGACCAGGGTCCCCCAAGTCCCAGCAGCAGGACTGGGAGGACAGCAAGCAGAACACAAACAGAACACAAGATCCACTTCCAGGAGGAAACTGCTGGAAGTCCTTCCCACCATCCAGAGAGAACCCCAAATCCACCAACAGCAAGGAAAAAAGAGCAGAAAAATGTCTCCTGTACTTCAGAGCAACAGGCTAGCACTTCATAGAACCTGGCATGGGTCAGCATTTCTGAACTCTTTTTTTTTTTAGATAAAAGAGATATTTTTTCAAAAAGTAGACCAAGAATTCAACTCAATGAAAATTGCTTTGTCTGTTCACATACAATAAGCGGTAGAAGCAAGAAGAAAAAAATTCAATTACTTCTAATTTATTTATTGCAAGTTGTTAATCTTTTCAAAGAAAAAAAATCAAGCCCTCCATTGGTTGCCCAGTATCTTGGCACAGGAAATACATATTTAATTATGTCATTGCATATTGATTATGTAAAGGAAAAAAGTGGATTGATTTTGCTCATCAAATATTTTGCCAGTGTCTACAATTAGGAGGCCACTGTATACAGGCATACCTAAGAGATAGCGTGGTTTTGGTTCCAAACCACTATAAAAAAAGTGAGCTGTAATTTTTGTGCTAGAGGAGTATCTTTCCATCAATTTGTTAAAAAAACAAAAAAAAAAAGAACCTCGGTGGAGCACAATAAAGCAAAGTGCAATAAAGCGAGGTATGCCTGTACAGCTGACCCTTGAACAAAGGGGGCTTAGGGGCGCTGACCACTTGCAGAGTCAAAGATCCCTGTATAATGTAAGCAGCCCTCAGCATATGCCGATCCCAACCACTGCTTTTGTGAAAAGCAATGCAAGGCTTCACTTTACCGGGTACTTTGTTTCTTAACATGGGCTGTGGGTACACTGGCGCCCACTTCATCATTCTTTATGCCCCTTTGAACATCTTGAATATTTCATATTAAATGTTGCCAAATCCCCAAATCTTCACCAACAGATTCTATTCTGGGCTGTTCAGAGCTGAAAGTTGAGGAGCAAAGTTGGAAACACCAAAACGTAATTGCAACAAAGAACAGAGAATGTAAAAGACTGTTTTTGGAAGGTTGCTTAAAGTTCTAAACCCACGCCAAATAACTGCTATGAAAAGAGAGCCAAGCTCTACTGTGAGCCTCCTATACACATAACTGCTGAGTTATTCTGAACACCTGTTGAAAGTGGGCGATAACTCGGCCAAGTTAAAGCATCAGGTACCTCTGTCAAGTGCACCATTGGCCCAGCTCCTCTGAATTTGTCACAGAATCTCTCCTCCCATGTCTGAACCTTCACAAGAACTACCTCCCTATAGTAGGGAGACCATGTTGGGTTGTGACTTTGTGCTTGTAATCCCCAGTATTCAGGAGAGATGCTGTAAAAGGCCCAAGCCTACCAGCCAGGACCTAAGGGAGTGGTTTCTTCCCCTTTGGGACACAGGCCCTAAACCACATTTGGTCTCAGTGCCACAAGGAACCAACCCTGATCTTCCAATCTTTCTGCCATGACATTAAAACCAACTGTTCCATCCCCCTGCCCACAGACAGGAAGAGAAGAAAGATGGTCCCAATAACTCAATTTCAGTCCTAATTCCAGCCCTCGTGGAACCCAAGTTTGCTACCATCTCCCCATTCCTGTGTGGCCAAGGTTTTATTGTCTAGTCTTCCCTTTTACCCCGACTGCTCAATCCTCACCAACCTGTAAGCTCTTAACGGCAGTGAAAGGCCACAGACAGGATGGAGAGCAGAGGGTGTAAGAAGAAGAAGAAAAATCCAACTACCCGGAACATCCACACCCTGTGTAATCAGCCAATGGGAGCAGAAACGCCGCTCACCCCAGTATTTCTAAGAGCAGGGCTTTCCCCACGTAAGAAACTGTTAAAAAAAAAAAAGTAACACTTCTATAAAAGCCCTACAGAAATAAGATTCTGAAATTTGACACCTAATTTCTTTTATTTCTGAATACCGTTAGACCAACTGGTTTTACTTCCTTCCCACCACACACACAAAACCCCCCGGGAGCCTCCGGGGAGAGGCTGAGCTCCCCAAAGTCTGGCTGGTGCACCAGCGTGCAAAACGCCTGTTTTATTGGCCTCGCTTGGTAAGTCGCAAATCCTCCCTCTGTTCCACCAAAGTTAACAGATGGCTGGTCCCTTTTGGTACAGAGGCATAAGCATCTTCAAAATAACCTCTTCCTTTAAAATGTGCCAATTAATTAAATGTCACGGTAAAATGTCGCAGCCAAGGAGGGAAGGGACAGCCCAGAAGACTAAGGGTCAATGGAAGAGAACAAGGCTGAGGTCACTCTCTCCTACCTTCACCCGACGACCCCGAGAGATCGATGATCACATACACTCGGCCTTCCGGCTCCAGATCAATCTGCAATTAAGAAAATGACAGTGTCTCTGTTAGTACATTGTGGGGACAACCCACGAGTTCATGACGTTTCCACCCCAAGTTGCTAAAACCTAGAATCACAGTTCCATTCAATTCACCAACCTGCAAAGTGTCAAGTGCCAGGTGAACTAGGAACCAGGGAGAATCCCCATTTACAGACTACCCATGATGCTCCGGGTGCCGTTCCAGGAGGTCTGACGCATACCCAATAGGTAGGTCGTCCCCGTGGTTCTCCCCCGGAAGCGATTTTGCTGCACAACGGAAACCTGGCCCAGGGGACAGGGGACAGGTGACACAGGAACATTTGGGGATATAAAAAACCAGGAGACATTTCTGACTGTGCTGCTACCTGCATCTCCGAGGTGGAGGCCAGGGATGCTACCAGACATCCCAGCACACAGGCCAATCCCCACAGCAAAGGACAATCCAGCTCAAAATGCCAAGTGTCAGGGTTGAGACACTCCTCGTTACCCCATTTTACAGGTTAATAACACTGGGCTCAAAGTTCCAAAGTAAGTGACAGTGCTGCGATTCTGCCAAAGCCTTGTTCCTTAGACCACACAAACTGCCCACAGGGGAACTAAGAGAAGCACAAGACATAACTCCTGCTCTCAAAGTGTTTACCATCTCACTGGGGAGTCCAAAACCAGAGAACAATGCTGAACCTGGCTTAAGGATGAGGGACAGAGAAGGTCTGAGTGTCAGTGAGCCTGAAATCCATGGAGAAGGGCAGTCTGGGAAGACTCTATGAAGGCGAGAAAGGGAAGGCATTCAAGGCAGAAGTAACAGCATAAGCAAAGGCCGGGAACGCACACGGTGTCTGTGCCAGACTGAAGGACCCCCATGCTCAGGTTGTGTGTTGGCACATGTGTTTTTGCAAACTCCAGATTCTACCAGGGTGGTAAAGAGAGAGGCAAGAGTGCTAAAGTCTTACCACTGACCTTCTCCATGCACCCTCACTTCCTACCCCCACCTCCAAATCCAGCTAACTGCTTCAATACAGAAGCAGGCTGATGACATCGGACAATGGAAGAAAAGTCAGAGGCGCTGGGCCTCTTAGCAGCTGAGACATCTTTGCAAGGTCTGAAGTGTCCTTACAGAAACTGTGTTCTCTGTGAGAGAGAGGAGTAACTCTGGAAACCTGGGGGCACCAAGTGCCCCAGTTGCCTACCCGTGCCCCCACAGTCCCATCTGTCTATGCAGGTCTCTAATTGGCTCATATGTGCCAGGCTTGTCTCCCCAACAAGCTGTGAGTATCTGGAGAGCTACAACCACCATCCTTCCTTTTCTTTTTCACTGTCTCTGGCAAAGAGCCGGCAAACACCTACCTAGCAAGTATGACTTAGGAAGTGCCGTTCTGACAGATACCTCCTCCTCCTTCAAGGTCAAGGTCGAGTATCCTGTCCTCTCTGAAGTCTTTCCAGATATTCCCTGTGAGACTTGATCATCCCACATGTATATTCCCACAGTACACACACACATCTTAACCATGGCTCCTATTCAATGGCACTCCATGGTCCGTATGTCTATCTCCTCTGCTGGACTGAGTATGAGAATCATATTTGCATCCCTAGTGCTTAGCTCGCTCTTTGTGTGTCAGGAGACACCCAATAAACATCTGAGGAAGTGGGAAAAGGCTCGAGGCTCAGGACTGTCAGGGCCTATTCTGGGGTCATCTGCCCCTCCAAGGCTCCATCCCCTGTAGGAAGGAAGGCAGGTGGTCTGTACCAAAGTGACATTCAAATGAGGTGAGAGGGGGAAAGAGGCAGCTAACTGTACCATGAGCACTGCATATTCCCTGTGAGGTGAAAATCTCAGCTGGAACTGACACCCCTGTTCCCACCCCATTCCCACCCCCACACACACACACCCCCGTCTCACTCCACTCATAATCCAGGCTCCCAGCCATCCATGCTCCCCACTTTATTTCCAGGCTCAGCCTTTTGTGGTTGAGAGTGCTCAAGGTTTCTCCCCAAATTCACTCTCATCAACAGGGGTCTTCAGTGCCTCCTAGGTGAGGCCCTTGGTGACATTCAAGGTGCTCTGTCAGGGCAGGGCATGGGAGGGAGTGCTGGGGGCTCTCAGGTTGCCCCCCAGGAGCCATTTGCCTGGTATCTCAAGACGAATATCCAGATGGCAACCAGACAACAAACTAGTGATGCCATGAGATGACTCTCCCCAGCCCTTCTACCCTAAGAGTCTGTGGTTTTAGATTTCTGAGTAAAGAACGTGCTCTGCAGCACCCTCACTGCACCCCCACCCTCCCAGGCCCAACCCCTACCACAAACACATCCCAGCCCCTGCACTGAATTACAAACAGGAAAACCGACAGCAGTCAGCTCAGCTGATCAGAGCCAAACCAGAATCCCGTCCCTGCCGCATTTCAGGGGCCTCCTTGTCCAAAAGCATGGAATTTAAATAATGTATGCCTTTTAGAGATTAGATCATCCCTATTAAACCCCGCCGGCAACATGAAATGCTTTCTCATATCCTCTAAGTCAGAGATTTCCCACGACCGTGGACTCCACTGGCGAAGTACAATGCTATCTGTGAAAAGCAGGGAGGAGACAACAGAGGAATGAGATGGGCTGCGAGGCCGAGCCGAAGGCAGGCAGCGTGCCTATCTTTGCAAAAGGGGAGTGAGAACTTGTGGCAGGGGGACAGGTCATTGACGATAAGATGTATTAGGATATTAACATTCAAGATAGCAATCAGAAACCATTATAGCACCCACTGCTGCTTCAGTGCCAATGAACTGCATTTCCAAACAGAGAAATAGAAATTAAGCTATTAAACATGCCAAGAGCAACAGAGAGCTTTGCAGCCTGGGCAGATGGCCGCAAGGCGCTGGCCAAGCCCCAGCCAGCTGAGTGAAGAGGCTCTGAGAACCCATCTAGGGTGGTGCAACTTCAACGTGGGTGATTGCAGGGGTTATCAGGTACAAAAGGTGGTGGAAGGATGGCGCAACTTCATGGCCAAATCACTTTAATCACAGATTCTGCTCACAATTAGGAGGCCCAGATAATGAAGCAACCAAGGTGCCAAACCCTGAGCTGCCCCTGCAGCTGTTAGTGGGCATCAGCACCAGGCAGCTGGCACTACATAAAAGCAGGCCTCCTCCCTCCTCCCTACCCATCCCAGGGTTAGTAATAAGCACCTTCTTCTGCCCTCTAGGTCCCTCCCAATTGTCCCTGATGCAACCCTATTTATCAAATCTCCTTGAACTTCATACTTTGACTTGATGAGTCTTTCCAGCTACTATCTCTGTTCCTTTGACTTTGATTCTTTTTCAGGCACCAGTGCCCTTGGCTATCTCTCCAGCTGAGGCCAGAAGTAGGGCAGCAGGACAGTGGGGCCAGACCTGGGCTGGATCCCAGTTATGCCACCTACCAGCTCAGGCAATTATTTACTCTCCCTGAGCCTCAGCCTCAATCTCTTCTCCTGTGACACAGGTTGTTGTGAAATCTCCATGAGTCAATCTCCTGGCTTTATTGCCTGAAGCAAGCAACTACCTTCTCTATCCTTCAGAATGCTCCTCCATGAAGTGGAGTTGATACTAGGTCTTATGTCATTTGGGCGGTCATGATGTTAAGTGCAATAACATAGGTAAAGTGCCTAGCGTGAGGCCTGGCATGAAATACTCAGTAATTGTTGGTGCTGTGGTTATAAAAAATCCAGTCTTCAAATCGCCTCTTGGGCCAATGTTCTTTTCACTATATCAAATGGTCCCCCAACAACAATGACAACAGCCAAAAGGCATTTTCTTGTCCAAAGTTAATATTATTACACTAGAGGCCCAGTGCATGAAATTCGTGCATGAGTAGGGTCCGTAGCAGCTGCCGAATGCCAGCCAGGGCCTTCCTTCATTACTCGCCGCCCCATGGTGGTCAGCGCACATCACAGCAAGTGATCAAACTCCCGGTCGGTCGAACTCCCGAGGGAACACTTTGCATATTAACCTTTTATATATAGAGTTGTTATTCCAGGACATCTAATAACTTTACAGTATTGTTGTGAATATCCAATACAGAATAAGGTGAAAGTTTTGTGTCCAGTCTAGGGGAAGCCCAGGGCAGGAAAGGCTATAACCCTGGTCATCAGAGGGCTAGGCACTGCTCATGGGAAAAGGAGAAGGGGAGGGTGACATGTATAGACTGAGCACCTACTCTTCCTCAGACTGTGTTCAGTGCTTTACCAGCATCAGTTCATTTAATCTCCTGTTAGGTTGGCAATATTCTCTGCCTCCCATATGGAAAAATGGGCTCAGAGAGCTTTTTCTGGATTCACACCCAGGGCTGCCTGGAGCACACGGGAGGGATGACTTTGATAGAGCTCCCGACTCAAGCCCTCTGACAACCCAGTCCCAGGGTTCTCCTTCTTCTAAGCCTCTGAAGGTTCATTCTCCCTTTCAGGTGCAAGTGATTGGCTTCCCAGCAAGGTAGGTTTAAGGCAGAGCAATGCTTCCCACACCCTGCCCCCCAGCCCTTGGGTGAGGTCTGGGCATAAACACAGCTCCATTCATCTGAGTTAAGAATAAGGCAGTGGGGAAAGAGCCCAAACCATCCCTCGATCCATGAAAAAGACATCTCTGAAAAGCAAAAGACTCACGGGCACTTTTTAGGGGGTGGTGTCTGACCATTCACAGTCCTGTGCACATTATTTTATGCATTCCTCCCAATTAACCTGTAAGGTCACAGGTATTATTAGCTCCACTGTATGTATGAGAACACGGAAGATAATGAGTCATGCACACCACTGCCCAACTCCAGGGGCACCATTCACCTGAATGAGTCTCCTGGAGCTGGGCAGCCTGGAGGTGAGTGGCACCCTCAACTCCTGACTCTCAGTCCAGTGTTCCTACCACCACACCATATCTGCCAGAGGGAACCCTGACCAGTGGGCCAGCACCCCACCAATGGTGCAGCACTGCACAGCCAGCTTAAGTATTACTGCTGTATGTCACTGTGACCCACAGGTGTCTG